CAGGGGATAGCTTCCAGGCAGAACTCAAGAAGGTCAAGGTAAGGGAGGAGAAGTGAGACAAGTGGAACTCCATTAATGTTTTTATTGATGATATGGCTTTGTTGTTAGTGTTACTGGTATTATTTTATGTTTTTTTTTTAAGCCTAATATAAGAAGTACTTTGATACATGAATTTATATTTTATAATTTGGTGTATAAAGTGTGTTTCTTCTTCACAAGAGCATTATTGCTATTTTTAATTTTATATTGGTTACATTTACATCATCATCTTCTATCTTATTATCGCAGGAGTGTAAAGAGTTTGTGTTACAGATATTAAACTCTCTGGAAAATCTTGTTACCAGTAACAAAGTGAAAGAGAGAGAAATTACAATGAAAACAATGATACTCTTTTTCTGATCCCCAAAGGCCACAGCCCCAAAGCTGGACGAGACCTCATTTGCATCTATGGTTGAACGGCAAAAGGAAGTGCTGCGGCGGGAGGCAGAGGAGAGGCAACGCACAGCACAGGGCCTACCTTCACGTCCCCCTTCCACTTCCTCCTCCCAGGTGCAGCCTCAAAGCAATGCAGCAACCAGAGAAGATAGCAATGATGCAGCTGGCCCTGCACCTCAGAACACAGCCACACCAGTTGACGCAGCAGCTTCCCCTGCCCCCATGCAGGTCAGTTAGAGGAAGAGCAGACTTGGTTGTCTAAAAATGTTTCAGAATGTTTTTATTTTCATGGGATGGGAGGACTTTGTGGAGCCCCACTTGGATGTGGTGGACTGCAGCTTTTTCCTCGTGTATTCATAAAGATTTCATGGCCTTTCTTTTAATTTTTCCCCCTTACCCTTTCCTCTTTTCCCTTAGTCTGTCCTTTACACAACCCTCTCCTGAACAACTTTTCTTGACAAACTATAAGAATCACTCATTCATTTTCCCTCTGCCACTTAAAAAGTTTCAGGTATCTCATAGTAACTGTGATGGACTAGTGATATGCTTAACTCCTCTGGCTAGCTGTATCTTTCTGTCCCAAGCATTATTTTCCACCAAGCAGAATAAAACAAGAGAGACAGATATGCCTCTCCAAAGCATGCTGTTGAGTATATTGTTTATTTACATATTGATTGTTTTTTCTTCTCATTTTAGATATACTGTTAACATGCAAAGGTAACCAAATGGCCTACAAAGTACTTAGTGTAATCCTTCGATAGATATATTTGGTACCTATGAAAGAAAGATTGCAGAACTATTTTTTTCAGTAAAAACATTGAGAATTAGGTCTTTTTGGGAGTACTTATTTTGTTTGTAAAGGGACATCTTGATGGATAGTGACACTCATTTTATATTTACTACATAGAAAGAAAAAGATATATTTTCAGGAATCAGAATGAAGAAAACTCGTCATATTCTTTGTTATGACTAATATTGTCAATTTACAATATCTCTGCTAAGTTCCAACATGTTAGGTACAATTTTTAGCACTCAAATTCATATTTTTGAGAAAGCTATCAAAAACCCTATTTACATTACCTATTTTGTGTTATTTTGTGTCAATTTGCCACTGTGTTGTGGTACACTGTCAACAGGAAGAGAACAATTACTCTTAAACCATTTCAAGCTCAACTAGGAAATAACTAGAAATTGAAATGATTAGTCACTATGGGTCCTTTCTTTGTTTTCACTGTTATGCTGAAGGAATAAAGGGTACCTTGCATAATGAAATATGAAGACGATATTGCATGCATATCCGTGATAATCAGCATTAAAATCCCCAAAAGTCAGAACTGCTGAATAAAGAAATATGCATATATTATTTTCCCGTATGTATTAAGAAATAGCTCTATTTATATTTCATCGATGAATGATGTGAGAGTAAGAAAAGGAAAGGCACGTGTTCAGATGTCTAATTCTACTGTAATAAATGTTTCCTCTTTTGTGATAGTACCAATTTACTTTTTTTTTTTTTTTTTCCAATGCTTCAATTCTACTCCTTTTCTTTTTCCCACCTTTAAATCCTGTAATTATTCTATTGCTAATGAAAACTGTTGCATTACTTTCTGTAGAGAATGTAATTTTTCAAATAAAGATATTGTAATTTACTGTTGTCTGTTTCTCTTAAATTGTATTGCTTGCTTTGGTGCATGTGCTTTGTAAACTGATTTTAAACTCCTAATATATTCCTTGTGATTTAACATTTTTGTATAAAAATCTTCCTTTTTTTCTTATCTATAAACTGGCTTTCATTCACATACTGATTAGATTATATATTTTGGTTACATATAATTAAAGTAATAACTGTAAAAAGAATGGTTAAGGGTTTGTATGGTATCGTCACACAGGGAATCTTTTTTAAATCTATACCTAGTTTGTTTTTTGTCCATTTTCTGTGATGTAATTCCATTGAATTCTGACTTCATTATTCATTATCCAAGTGTTTGTAATTCATTGTAATTAATTTCTGCTTTAGTTCTGATTCTGGTTTCGATTATCAGGAAAGTAGATCTGAATAACTTTTTTTTTTTTTTTTTTTTTTTTTTTTTTCCCCCAAAGGTATATTGTGGTAATTCCTTCATTTAATTATTGCCTGAGGACTCATTTTGACTCTTTATATCTTTATGTGCAACAGTACATGCATCGTAGTGTCCTTGCTTTATGAAATAGTAAATTGTAATTGAAAGAATTGGGGGGGTTTGGGGCAGGGAGTTGGAATGAAACAGCATGAGAAAAAAAATATAGATTATGAAAAGTATGTTTGATTTCAGATATTATTTTTTATAAGTATTTAAGTTTTCTTTTTGTTCATTGTTAACCTCATTAATTTCTTTATTTATATATATATTATATATATATATATTATATATATATTATATATATATATATATCTTTCTGTTATGATTACTAAACTTAATGTTGACAGTAATTATTGTGTTATTAGTTATTGTTATTAATTATTACTTACCTTAATTACGTCATGTTTGGTTTTCATTTGTATTCAACATTTGTGTATATATTTAATTTTTTATGAGTAGTGTATTCACTAAGCATAGTAACATTTTGGACAGCAAAAAGGCAATCAAATTGTGCTAGATTGCTGAAGTTGAAGTAAGAAGATATAATGATGATAATAGAATTAAACTATATTATTTTATGTTTCTGTTAACCCCTATGATCTGGATGACGTTACAATCCCGTCATGGAAAAGTCTGGGTCGAGGGCCGGGTGATGTGAACATGCCGTCATCGGGAAAAGGGCTGTGGGCTGGGTCATGAGCGAAGGCCAGGGTGATGGAAAAGACTCGCCTCGAGTGTTCAAACCTCTTGGAGTGTAATTTGACTCATTTGGTACTTAGAAGGGGGCTTTAGCAATATTCCCATCAATAAATGGATGTGGAATGTAACCTGTGTAACCCATGACTGGAAGAGCACTGGCTCCAGGGTGGATGCCATTTCCATGCTGTGCATTGTATTTGTGGCCACTGTGACCAGTGGCACAGGTTGTATTATGGAAGAATAAAAATTACAAAAGAATATGACACAAATAACCAAATGTTAATAAAAAAATCATGCACCGGTTATTTACTAAATAGAGAGATGATATGGAGTTTGTGCAAGAAGGTGCTATTTCCATCTGGATAAAGCAAATCAAAAGACAGATATGGACATTGGAAAATGGCAAGAAGGTTAAGTTTTATTCAAAATAACTTTGCAAAGGGGAGGCACAGAGTCTTGTCACCACTCATAGCTGTTCACGCACCCAGCCTACACCCCCACTAGGATGTTGGCTACTTACGTAAATCAATGCCCGTACTTTCGGCACCGTGATTTCCATGATGCAATCGGATCCAATGGGTTAACATATTCATGTAAAGTTATTCTTCTTAAGTTAATTTATATTGTTTCTGAAAAATAGCCCATGTCATTTTTTAACCCTTGTTCATGTTTAGTACTTCAATATCATTGATCTAATAAAATGATGCAAAACTTAATTGAATTGCATCTAAGTTTTTTTGTTGTTTATCATTCTTTGGTGTAATTGGCTTGAATTATTAAAAAGTTTAGCATTGCATTATGATTAGAGACTTTGCATTCCCTCATCTAAATTTTGAACCACAGGAAAACGACATGGGTGGTGAAGACGAGAACAAGATGGAAGGTGAGAACACACGACGACTTTCTTAGTTTCGTTGAATTTTATTTACCCTTAGTTTTTTTTCATTAAAATTTTAATGTATATATATTTTATTTTATTTTAGGCTTTGTCAAAAGAGACAGATAAAATGTCCTTCATTTTTAAGATTTGTTGTAGCATTAAATATTGTGTTTGAGTCTTTCTTTTTCTTTATTACTCTTTTGTAATAAAAGAATATTTGGGGATTATTTGTATATGGAGGCAAAGATGCTCTATTTTAAAAGTCACTTATAAATATCAAAAGTGTATTAACTGCATTTACTATTGAATATGGTTTGGTTATATTAGTAGGCATGGAGTAAATTCATTGAAAGCAAAATTAGTGTATAAGAAAAAATGATTTTATGCTTTTGAAATATCTGATATTATATGTATATTTTTTGTTTTTTTTCCATTTTGATTTAGTTCAATTGAGTTGTTGTTTTTGTTATTCTCCCAAGTTCATTTGCTTTATTTTTTTTTAGTTTGTTAGTTCCCTCTCGACAGAATTGCCCTTCCAAAGTGTTAGTTAGAGACCTGTTGCTGCATGTGTGAACCTTCCATCCTTATACCTAACATAATCCATTATTGCCTAGCCTCCACTGCTGTGACGTCTACTGCTGCTGCAACTGCACCAAATGTTCCGGCTCCTACCACTACCACTGCTGCTGCTGTTCCTGCTGTCAATGGCCCCACCTCTGCTGCTCCCTCTACTGCCCCTCCCCTTGCCCCGTCTGCTGCAGCTGGGGGATCCTCCTCCCAAATGACCTCCACTCCGCCCACCTCAGCCCAGAACACAGCAGCTCACAGTGATGCGAGCAGTGTCCCTCGGCCAGCCCCTTCGGTTGTCTCATCTAATCCTACTCCACTCCCTGGCACTCCCCAGGCTCCCCTGTCTCTGGTGCAGTTCCTCCTCCTCCTGCTCCCCATCCAGCCCCCACACCAACCACTGCCCCAGCTCCAGCTCCTGTCCCAGGTCAGGGGCCACCACCACAGCAGGCTCCAGGTCCTGGTCCTGCCCCTGGACACCTTGCAGCCCCTGCTCCAGTCCAGGCTGCTGCCCAAGCTCCCCAACCCCAGGCCAAGCACCACCACCCAATCCAGGCTCTGTTCCAGCACCCAATCCAGCCCAGGCTCCTCCAGTTGCTCCCCCTCCCTCAGGACCTGCCCCTGCTCCTATGACCAACATGGCCACTCCTCACCACCCACAGATGCCCCAGAGCAATGCCATTCCTGGGAACATGATTCCTCACTCTGGGCAGATGCCTCCTGCAAACATGCCAACAGGACCCATGGTTCCCCCCCACCCAACCCAGATGCACCCCACCAATGCCATCCATGGCAACATGGTCCCATCTCACCCCAACCAGTTGCCTCCTGCCAGCTCCCTCCCAGGTGCCCTGCCCCAACCTCACCCAACACAGATGCATCCAGCCGGTGCCCATCCCCCTGGCAGCATGGCCCCCTCCCATCCGACCCAAATGCCCCCTGCCAGTACCATGCCTGGGAACATGGCCCCACACCCTGGTCCTGGGCATCAACCCGGACCACCCACCTCTGCCCCTCCTTCTTAGTATTTGTGTAATGGTTGATGTACCTGCTCCTCCTTGGCACTTTCTCGAGTGCCACAGGAATGCTGCACTATCATGTGTTTTTTACAGCATTCTTTAGACTTGAGAGAGAGTCATGGTCATTTGCAAAGTCCTCAAGCAAGTTCTCCTGGTTGGATTATTTTCTGAGCATGGTTGTTTGTGGCATGTGTTTTGGTGGGAACTTTTTTTTTTTCCAATTCTCTTTTTATTTTATTTTTTGTCTTACAATTTAGGATTGTCCAGTTTGTGCTTGACTTCAAGCTTGAGTTCAACACAGTTACTAGGATACTCAGAAAAATCCATGCAATTTAGGATTATGATTTTTCTGTCACTTATTATTATACATTTTTTGTAGAACAGAGATTTATCTGATATTTGTGACTTTTTTTGTCTTTTTCTTTTAACCATTTTTTTTTTTTTTTTTTACCTTTGATAAAAATAATGTACATTAGGATAAAGGCATTCATGTCCACCTGCTAGTATAGCTGTGGAATAGTGTTTAGGCAAATTCTTGTAAAATTACTAGAAAAAATAAAAATAGTTTCAAAAATATTAGTTTCAAAAATATTTTAACTGAATAATCATCATATAAGCCAGAAAAATGGGGAATACATAATTTATATTGCAAATGTATTTATAAGACTACTGATAGACAGCCAAGAAACAAAATATGCATTGAATGTATTGTGAATTTAGTCACACTGAATACATGTAATGTGCATTTTTTTAATAAAACATTCCCTTTTCATAAATGGACTTTTTCTCTTATCAATGTCAAATCAAGATTGTTCTAAACCTTATCTTAGGTTTCATGAAGATTAAGGAGTGTGAAACATGAAATATGATTGCAAATGCCTGGTATTATGAACATGATAGTCTCACCTTTTTTTATTTGAAAGCTCCTTATCCTTCAGATAGCATTCAGCTATAGTTCATTCATTAGCTGTACCATAAATTTCTTACAAAGTACAAAAGTACAACTGCTTTTTTCTTAAGCACAGATGCATTCACATGGTCTGTGTAGACCTAAAAAGCCTAGTAGCATTATTTGCTTTTACCATTCTAGAAACAATGCACAGGACCAATCTCCTGTGTGTGCACTTTGAATTCTGCACACTAACCAACACTTAAGAAGAAAAACCTCATTAGTATGTCATGAAGCACTACCACACAATAAAACATTTAAAAATCCCATGCATATCTTAGTTTTACTGATTTATATATATTAAATGTTTTCTGTATAGAAATAGTCACAATTCATTATTTTAGGTTCATATTCAGACTTGCAGCAAAGAGGAGAAAGAGGAACACCACTGATTAATTTGATCTGCTCATAAAAATGCATCAGACTGCCTTCCAATCTAGAAGTAGTTTGTGTGAGGAGCTAGTACTGTATGCACACCAAAAGCATAAGAGTTCAATGAGACACTGGGAATGAACAGCAAGAGCACAAAATGTAACAATTTTCTGACAAAGACTCATGCAAGGGGACAGATAACATATTAATTTAATAGCAGAATTATCAAAGGAAGTGAAAAGAAACGGAATATGTCTCTGCAGTAATATCAAAGAAAAGTTTTGTCAAACCAAGTTTCTTTACTATACAGCAGTGAGACATTGATTAAAAGCCAAAGGGCTGTTGAATAATAAACTATTTGTATAAAATATAGCCTAATAAAAATAATGGGGAAAATTGAATTAATCCACCCTAATCCAGAATTGTACTTTTACTAGCTTTTCCAATACTTTCTTGTCTGTTTATGAACTGGATTAGGTATTGCTACCACCTAGAATAGCTCTTTGTTTTCTTAGGGTCATAGCTTTGTAATAATTACAAGATGGGGCCCATTTTAATTCCAGGCCTGGAATTATGGAATAACAAAAGTGTAAATTGGAAAACCTTTTGGAATAATGATTAATCAATGCTACATGCACAGTACCACTTACCATATTGCAAATTTTATATCTTCCATAACAGTATTTTCCCATAACTGAAATCTTGTCAAAATAGTTGACATTACAAATTTTCACAATTGTTTAAATCTGATTAAGTGCCAAAAGTAACTTACTAATTGGATTTTCTCTATTAAAATGGCCTCAGAGTAATGATTTGCTAAGCCAGTATCATACCTATAAGGGTGAGATTCCACTGTAGTTGATTATGTAATAACATTATTGGCATGCCCAAGTAAATTCATCTAACAGACATTCATTTTTACTAGATATCACTCATGATATAATGCTACATAAGTTTCAAGGGTTCAACTCAGGCTACATTAAAGCCACTGCTGTCATTGGGTGACCTTTTCAGTTCAGCTTTCTTTCAACCTTCTCTTGCATGTTTCCAGAAGTCTGCATATGCCTAGATATGAACCGTATCCATGTTGACAAATGTGGAAAAGGTATGAATGAGACTGGACATCTTCACAATACAAGAAATGTATTTACATCTCTTGTATTGTGAAGATATCCAGTCTCATTCATACCTTTTCCACATGCCTAGATATGTGAACTTCATCCCACCTAGATATGTGAACTTCATCCCATACTGGGTCCCCTCAACACATTGACCGTGACATTTTGTTACAGAAAGAATATCTGATTCTTGTCCAAGTTTCTCTCCCAAATACTACACATTTAGTTGGTCTTCAAACTAATGAAGTTAGGAGGATGCCATAGTGGGGAGTTGCCAAGACTCAACCTCAGCCTTCCTTAGTACAAGGGATGTTGAAACAAAATTCAGTCACTTAGTAGCTGCCCTAGCACTGTAGTGCTGGTTGGACTCCTTTAATGAGAAGTCAAATGATTTGGACAAAAATCCTTTGCAACGGTTTTTACACCTTATAGTTTATAAATTACTCATGGATTAGTACTATTTCAGTGAAATTGTTCATCCTCCACCACCTCCAAGTGGGTCTCCATCTGGATCTGAATACCATCTTATTCAAACCATAGTTATAGCATTCAGTATATCCACCCTCTTTATTTTCTAGTATTGATATCTCTGCTTTAGAACTGTTTAAAGGCCAGCACCCGCAAAGAGGATTCAACTATCTCTCAAGACATTGACAGCCTGCACAATAAAATGCTAAATCGCTGCGTGACTTAACAGTAATAACATCCATAACATGGAGACTCGTCTCATTGCCACCACTACCCAGCCCTTACTCTTATGTGCTGCTGCTGTTCCTGAACACTTACTCTCTGACACTGCCCTTGACAGTGCACAGTATTCCCTAGATTTCAACCTACCCTATGCAAAAATTTTCTCATTTTAATGTTAAATATTAATGCTATGGATAAGGCAAATGCAACCTGCATGTCACCAAAATCTATATATTGGAATCCTCTCTGATACGACAGACGCTAAGGACGCACAGCCAGATTATCCTATGGGTTACTATAGGCTGCAGCCTCAAGCTTGGGGTCCACCAAGCATAAGCAGCCCTGCTGAAAAATTTTATGTGATTTTTAATAATGAATGAGGTATTTTGAGATTTTACATTATTGAATGATTCAATTAACTGGGAATAAAATTTCAACTAAAAAAATAGAGACCAAGGAGTCTGAAAATCCTATTTCCAAAGTAGGCTGTTTGTGGCTCCTTATTTTAGATAAAGATCCCATGTATGAGGCCTTTTATTTGAGATGATGAATCCATTTGAGGCCCTGAGGAAAGCATGTGCTACTTGTTAGAACAAGAATCTACAAATTATTACAGTAATAACTAAAATATTAGCATTTCAGTAAGCTTGGTTAGCAGCATCTGGTAGGGTGAATGTTGCAATACAGCAAGGCGTGTGAATATTCAGGAACAACATTTGTCCACACGGGTAGTGAAGATATCCTGTACATCACAACTGACTGTCAGTCTCTGGCAGCCTATCAATGGGCAAAAGGTGGAAAAAATCCACAAGCTATACTGGTATGTGCAATAGAGTTCACCTCTATTGCTTATAGGAAGTTTTATTACAGGAGTTAGTAATGGATAAACTGTATCTGAAAAGAAAAAATGATAGTAGTAAACAAGCACTTTTAAAATGGAGTCAAGGATCTGAGGCAGGATTTCAAAGATAATTTCTGGAGCAAGGATGGGAGACAGGGAAGATGAATGGAAACAACTAGAAACACTATAGATAGCAATATATATACCTGTGAAATGAGAGAAAGGGAGACTTCATGATGAAAAATTGCAATCCAAGGTAACTACAAAGCTTTCAAATATGGTATGGTGCAAGAACTGAGAAGAGAGGCGAGAATAGAAGAGAAGGCAGAATGGCATATCGACAAGGAAAGCTTTCAGAAGTGAAGTAGAGATTTGAACACCTTGGCAAGAGGGGTGATGTTTAGAAGAAAAGACGATGAAGATGTAGAAAATGCAAAGATTACAAATGAGAAAATCAGGCTTGATGACATAGAAGTGAGAGCCTAATGGAAGAAATATTTTGAAACTTAATTGATCTGAAAGAGGCATATGTAATAGAACATCACTTACAATGAAGTAGAGAAAGGTTTGAAAGATACAAAGTAATGAATAGCAACAGGTCCCTCACGAGTATCTTACAACAGACTGAAAAAAGTGATGTACCAGAGGTGGTAAAAGTATTTCAAATATACTGGAGAAAGAGAACCAATTAGTTTGTTCAAAGGAAAGGGTGATGCATAGTGGGGTAAGTACAGAACTTTGAGACTGCTTGAGCACATCAGAAAGATTAGTAAAAAATGCTGGGACTGAGAAACATCAATATTAATGAAGCATGGATTATGGATAGAAAATCCACCTTAGATATCATATATGTTATCTGCAACTAAAGGTGGCAAAAAGGGGTATTTGCACCAAGTGATTGCTCATTTGGAGGACCTTTATGAATTACTAATGGTTATTAGTTGATGGTTACAAAGCAAAAGAAATGTGCTAGACCTCAAAAGGTCATATAGCACTATATAAAGTTGTAGTTGTGAAAAGGGTGAAGGGGGGATTTCATTGATGGGTAAATGTGCTATACATCAAAAGTCGTAGAGCAGTTCAGGACAGGAAGGCACAAAGGACCAAAGAGGAATTAAGGTAGAGAGGGAGAGTAAATGGGCTAAGGTAGGCATTAACAAGGGTGATAACATTAAATTTGTAAAAAGTAGAAGTGTGGGATTTTGTAAGGATGTCTACAGGGTATGGTAGGACTTAGCAAAAGGAGAAAGGGGGGTTTCACGGTGATTAAATTAAAGAGTTTCAGGGGGAAATGTCATGAGGGAGAGAATCCAGGGAAGGAGGTTGTGACTTACGTGAGTCTAATATGTATATATGAGCAAGTGGAAGGGATGGCAGGTAAACAAAGGGGGGATGATGTAGATAAAGCCAGAGGAGTGGGGATGTGTTAGTAGGGAGTGCGAGGAAAGGGTGTAGCTGAAGCATAAGTTGGAGGAGGATGGATGTTGGGAGTCATTGTGTGCAGATAGAATGGGAGCAGAGAGATTGGGGGATGACTGACTTGTAGCCATGTTCTCTACAGTTTTGAATTCCCTTGAGTTTCAGAAGTGGAATTGGTTGGGGAAGTCTGAGATATGAGGGTTTTCTTATGAGAAGAATGGACAGACATTTGAGGAGCAGATGAAGAGGCTGATGTAAGAAAGGATGCTGTTGGAGAAGATAGGGTGAAACATTTAGTTTGTCTTATGCAATGCGTCAAGTGAGGAATAGGGTTAAGTACTGGGAAAGTAGAAATTGGAGTGTCTGGATTTAGAATACTGATAGAGATTGGGGTGTCTGGATATAGAATGGCAAAAGAATTTGACTGGAAGGAGGGGTAGAAGTGGATGAGGAAGAGATACGGGGGAATATGTAGAAACATCTTGGAGGGAGCCTCTAGGGGGAATGGTGGATCATTGTGATACTGCATCATAGAGTCCCCTTGAGGGGTAAGGTCTTGACAACTAAACAAGGGAATACTGTGCTCATGGCTCTGCTAGGTATTCATGACTGTCACAAATTCAGCCTTTCAACCTTTCAACACAGCTCTCACATCTTAAGATGTGGATAGAAGGAATTGGAGAAAAGAAGGAAAAGGAAAGGGGAAGAAAAGGCTTTGCAAAATTATTTGAGTCGAGGACTGAGGCCTAAATTAAGGGTGATCCCTAGCATTGAGCCTCAGTCTCAGTCTCCTAAGCCCCCTCCCCCGTGACAACATCAGGAATGGGTTGGGGGTAGGGGAACATGTTGGGAAGAGAAATGGCTCACCCCTCATGGGTATCTGAGGAACTTCAAGAATGGCCCAAAACCAGCCTTTTATCCTTTCAAAATGACTCTCTCAGCTTAGGAAGTGGACAGAAGGGGCTGGAGAAGAGACATAAAATTGGCTGTGGCCCATAGTAGGGGAGATTCCCAATAACGGGCCTCAGTCTCCGTTTTCTATGCCCCCCCTACAACAATGGGCATGGGATGGTGTGTGTGTGTGTGTGTGTGTGTGTGTGTGTGGGGGGGGGGGGGGGGGGGGGGGCTCTAGATGATGTAGATGGAGTTTAAACTAAAAAAAAAAAGAGACCATATAATTGTCATATAAAATTGACATTTATTGCTCTGTATTTGAGCTTTTTGGCACAAAAATTGCATGGATAAGAGAACCGTTTTCTCCATGGATGACCAGACTTTAAGCTGAAATTGAAATTCTTAGGCTCTTGACCTGTAGGGAGCTTAGCATTTTGGCAAATATATAGGATAAAATTCCATTTTGAGCTGTCATGTGCATCAACTGGACCTTTAGA